AGCGGCTTTACGAGTCGCTTGTAGAAAGACTGTTGCGATTTTGCGAAATACTGGTAAACAATGCGTGGTCATCCGCGGGCGTATCCCTCTCCGCCCGCTTGTACTTTCTCTAACTTGACGGACACTCTGTCTCGCGGTTCATGCTGACGAAACGATCGTCGGGATACCGGGTAATTGCTACAGCCGAGCGCGGCACAGTTTACCATTGCTCCCGCTGTGGAGGGTCGAAGAGTCAACTACCAGCACGGCGGATACCGTTTTTTTTTTTTTTTAATTCTTGCAGATTTGTTTTAAAAGAAGCCATGAACGCTACACTTATGCGGTTTGTGCGAGAGTGATACGCCCAGGGGGACGTTATGTAGTTTGCTAATTTTTACGATAAGTCGGCTAATGAAATAAAATTCATTAATTAACTTTTAATTAGTGAAAATAGACATGGTTTCAATTAGGAACTTGCTGAGCGTCGTCCAAAACCCCTAAACCAGTAATTTTTAGAAAGACTGAGCGCGTGTGAAGCGAAGTAGTGCGCTGAAGTTACCACTTGTGGACCAGGTACAAGGCAGGGGCTAGATAAGAGACAAAAAAATTTCGCAGGGCGCCTTACCGAAACCGCTAGCCTTGTACCTGGTCCACGAGTGGTGGCTTTAGTGCGATTCTCACGCGCTGAAAGACTTTCTGAAATTGACTGATTTAGGGATTTTGGACGACGCCCCGCTAGCTGCTTATTGGAACCGTATGTCTATTTTCACTAATTGAAAAGTTCATTAGTGAATTTTAATTAATTAGTTGAGCAATCGCAAAGCTCAGCGCCCACGTAATGTCCCCCTGGGCGTATAACTCACTCGCAGAAACCGCATAAGTGTGGCTTTCATGACTTTTTTTAAGAACAAATCTGCAAGAATAAAAAAAAAAAGCACCCTGATATGGGAGGCAGATATACCCTTATTTGGCAGACTCAGATATGGATGTATAAAAAATTGGGCAGATCTGGTTATATAAGGCTTATATAAACTGATGTGCTTGATATGACCAGATCTGCCCAATTTTTTACATATCCATATTTTTTTTTTTTTTATATAAGTCCAGATCTGCCATTTTCGTAAGGGATTTAGTATCTCGATAGTTGAAATCGGCAACATTTTCATACTAGCTTTAGGAATATTAAATGTGATATAGGGAAGAGCCTTTAAATTCTGTTGCAAAATATGTGGAATACTTTGTTGGCCGATTTCAGGCTCCCAGTGAAGTTAAATGGCAAGATTACGAGGCGTTCAACCAAAATATTTTTAGCAGCTACGGCTAGTAAGTTCCGATCAGCAGCACAGTGTCAGCATCAAGCGATTCAAGAAATAAATAAATTGCTTATGTTTGGGCCAGTACGTTCTCAATGTTGATAAAAAGAATGTTGAATATTTTTTCACACTTCGTTTTATATTAAGTTTGCCTGCATATGAAGGTTCGATCAAATGGAGCCAAATAAATAGCTTCAAAAACCTGTTATCTTGTCGGTCGTCATTTTATACTTTTTTTTTATCACTGGACAAATAACACTCGCTAGAAAACGCTCAGGGTCACGTGGCATTCACTGCGCGTGGTTGGTTTAGTCGGTGATATCAAAAAAAAAAAAAGGCAACGACAAGCGCCGTTATCAATTCTATGCACTTTTGGCATTGCTTGATTGGCTCCATTGGATAAAAGCATTGGCTGGGGAACAGCGTTCGAGATGACACCCCCACAAATAGTTTTATTATAACCAAAACGGAAACACGAGCCCGAAGTGATGAGGTGCCTTGTCGAATGGATGGGAGGATCGCGTAACTACACCCGACCGCGTTTTTCTTCCCTCCGCTCCGCAGGCCGTGCAAAGCAGATGACAGTTTTAGCAATGTAATGATCAAACACATGAGAGGGAGCTCCATTTTCGTAATAATTCAGGCAGTCACCTGTAGATCAGAAATTTCGCTGCCAATTATCTGTTGCAAAAGCACGCCCAAGGCTCGAAGTCAGCGAGCAGCACGCATACGCAACATTTGCACCACGCATGCGTATTTAACACTCACTTCGTTCTATGTGCTTGACTTTGGTGTGTTTCAAGCTCTTTCCGATTCGTGCTCCCAGGACGGGCGATGTCTTCAGCCAGGAGAAGGGCCGCCGACTTGGCGACATCTTCGTGCAAATCAGCTTGTTGGTCGGGCGTGTCGTACGGAATAAATCCTAATTGTTCCGATTGGTAAAAAATGTCTCTTTCGAAGCTAGATAGATTCGCCGGTACCGCGAAGGACTCTTTTGAAGCAGAGGACCCACGCGCGTCAACCGCCGCCATCATTTAGTCCACTTCGACTAACCGTCTATCCCACGACTACCGGATGCTCCAGCGATCCGCGATACGACACCATGAACAGAATTACGCAGTGCGTATGCTTCTTGTACTCTGCAACTCGTTTTTTTTAATCGACGTAGCCTAAGCTTTTGAAAAGCCACAACCCTATTGAAAATTCCATCAAGCTACGTAATTTGGGACACTGACTGCCAGTCAGCAGCCTTGATGGAACGTGGTGGACCATCAGACGTCATCTGATGGTCCATCAGATGACGTCTGACTGCCACTGCCAAGGGAATTTCATCATCAAGGGCAGCATTTATATAAGAGTAAAGCTATACGCACTCATAAATATCGGCAAATGCCTCGATAAAACAAAATGTTCGAGAAAAAAAAAAAAAAAAAAAAGCAGGACCACCGCGGATCGAATCCGCGACCGCTTGCGTACAAATCGAAAACACTAACCGCTATGCTACGCCACCGCTACGGAAACTCGATTTGACTATTCGTTTTATACGAGATGCTTCGGCTGCAAATGCAGTTAAGCCGTCAGCATGTTATGAAAGCACTCGTACATCACTCGCCGTACTTCAGTTCTACTCACCTGCCATGTAGAATACTTTCGCGTCGTAGAATGATCCTTTTGTTCGCGCGTCATCGGCCCAGTAGCTGGTACACCTTGTCGTCTTTAACTACACCGCTAAAGTTCCTTACATCGTCGGAACTCACAACAGGCTGGGTCTCGTCGAGTAGAAATTCTACTAAAGCATAAGACATTGTAGAGCCCGGGCAGGATCGACAGGTTGGAGCAAGCGGGCAAACAAAACGAGTCGAGAGCGATCGTTCATGAAAGCTCGGCGAAGCCTCCATGGGCGAAGCGAAGTGCGAAGTGTCGCGTTCGACGCTTCGGCGGCTTTGGCGGGCTTCTGATCAAGGTTGTCGGTCGGTTGCGTGTCACATCTCTAACGTCAGCGGTTTTATGGGCTCACGTCCCGAAATCGTTTTCTCGTGCATAGATTACTTTTCGTATTCATAGATTTGACGAAATAGTGGTATCCGAACGAACTTTACGTCCTTTGACCGTACTTCTGTCTGCACGTCAAAGCTTTCTGACGTACAGTCAGAGACAATCGATGTACAGTCAGAATCACCACCAGGACATCCTGATGGCATTTCGCGGCGGCCGACTGCCACCAGGAAACCATCAGAAAGCCGACAAGCGGGGTCTGACTGGAGTTTGACTGTCGGTCAGAGTAACTTGTTGTCCAATCAGACATGCTTGACGTACAGTCAGACACAGTCAGCGGTCCACTAGAAAACATTGACTGCCAAACAGCGTTACATTGATGGATTTTTCCTTCGGGAAAGAAGGGGTTTCTTTTTTTAATGTTGATTGTGAGCCCTTGATTACCCAAGATTTGGAATATTGTTGACGGTCGCGTCTGAACGGCCCTTGAGCGTGGAGAAGAGAGTGAGCGCATCTCAGACCGGGCAGTTCTTGATCAGCGGTTCACAAGAGGAAAAAAGAAAAAACTAATTTTAAACGCGTATTTAGTTCTGGGAGCTTGGGCTCTGATATTTAATATACAAATAAAAGCCTTGGCGAACATAAATTCCCTGTCTGTGTCCCTTTAATGTTCAATGGAGTAAACTAAACTTCAGGGCGATAGAAGAATTTAGTTGTGAATCACTTTTAATCGGCACATCAAGCACACGTGATTACCAAAAAACGAAACGCGTGGGTTATTTTTTTTTTAAATTTTAATAACACTGCGTGTCCCTTCATCGCAAAAAAAAAACAACTTTAACTCAGGTGCGATTTATCTAAGCACAATTTAGAAGGACTATTTTGTGTTCTGGAAAATTCGCATAGCCTCCATCGGGCTAGATGTATAGGTCCAAGAATCTCCTTACTGACTGCAAATCCAATCTCTTTAAGTTTACTACCTGAAGTAGATATTGCATCTTTGTGCCCGGAAGGGCACAATGTCTCTAGGATTGCCTCTTTTTTTTCCTTTGCTTAAAAACCACGGATATGTTGTGTTTTATCAATGCTATCAGGGTTTATCTGCATGTTTAGATTAAATTCACGCAGATCGACGACGAGTGACTCACATTCTGCCAATGAAGGTTTCGCTTCTCCTTTGATCAAAAGTTATACTAAGCTTGCCAGTCGTGACCAGGTCTCGCTTCCGATCAAGTGTTATTTTAGGAGCGCGCGTTCAGCGCGCGCTGCTTGCAGCTTGAATTCTACCATTTGCGTTTGAAGTTGGTCTGACCGAGGATTGGGCAAAGGTTTCAGAACCAAACACTTTAGTTTTCAACTGACTGGTTAATTGTTGTTGATCGCTGAGTAGAACCTGTGATTGTGGTACTTCACGTACTCTTACATGGAGAACATGTCTAGCAAAGCAATTAGTTTTTATCCTGCCACATTTTGTTTTGCCTCATCTTGCAGTATTATACTCCTATTTTTTTAGGTGTAAGCTCTAATACATTACAATTAAAGTACAATAATTAAAAGCATCAGCTTTTTTAGCAGGTGGTAACTCTATACGATTCCCTAATTTTCGGTTCAGAAAAATGACAAGGACAAAAAGATTCACTCCGTAGTGTAGTTGCGCGCACGACATTGTAATATCGTTTTACAATAAATTTGTGCAATTAGCAAGACACGAAGTAAATGAATAAGAGTGTTATGTTTATTTCAGTCCAACGTCAGTGCAGGTGGCGTTGAGAGCAGGCCCAGAGGATCCTGATTCGGTGTTGTCAGATGTCTGGACTCTGCGAAAGAAATCATAATGTTTTACATTGTTATATTAAGAGACGGTATGCTCTAGAGAAATTAAGCTACTCGCTCTATGGCGTTTCGTTATTGTCACCCTCAATGAGATTATTAGTAAAACAGAATAACATATAGTGCCAGCTAGAAAGCTCGCATCGTATTCACTCTTTCAAGAGTTAAAACAAAATACCGATAACGAAACATTTTATTGTATACTCACAATTCTAGTACAATTTACATAATAAAATATTTACTGAGTACTCACACTTCTAGTAGAAACGACCGTAGCCAAGATGGCCGAGTCCATAACCGTAGCCAAGTCCATAGCCGGAAAGACCATAGCCGTAGCCAAGGCGGTGGCCATAACCGAGACCATAGCCGTAGCCAAGTCCATGACCGTAGCCGAGGGTAGAAACAACTGGAGTGCGGTGGACGGTGGAGTAGTAAGAGGACAAGGGAGCAGCCACGGGGTAGCCGCCGTATCCGAGGTAGCCAGCGAAGGCACAGGTGGCCAGAGCCAGGACGAGAACGCAACGGAACTGCGCAGAAATAGGTGGCAGAAACAGTAGTTATTTTTAATATACAATATTAGCCTGGAGCAATGACAACGGCGGAGTTGCCAACTTAGTTCGGATGCAAACTAGAATATTTGGGAGGCATAACCTTTCCCGGACTAAGATATTGTTCATGACATGCTTCCTGGTGCTGCATATTCTTTTTTTTATTTTTTGGGTTATGATTTAGTGAATCAAAATTTATTTCGCGGCTAATGTTTTAGTATATAATTCTTAACGATCTACATCTTAGCTAAAATGTGGTTAACGAGTGCATAATTGTGTCGTACAGAGACAAATATTTTGGTCTACACTCTAATAAAGCCATTGCGTCCACTTTCCCGCAAAACACTCGGAGAGTCAAACACCGCAGCCTAAGGAGGCAGCTCAGCGACGATGCGGAAACATACTTCTAGATCGCCTGAGTTGTGACACTAAGCAATGCAAGCATTACGCTTAGCATTGCTTGATGTAACACTCAGAGTGCATTTTTTTGGTCTAAACATATGTTTCGGCATCGTCATTCGCTTAGGTGCTTCCGCGATTTGCAGTGATTGGCTCTCCAAGTATTATGCGGGAAAGTAGACGCACGTTCTTTTTGTGTGAGTTTTCGTAGAGTGAAGAGGGAAAACATAAGACAAGATACATCACTCGTATATGAGTTTGCGTAATCTTCACAACCATAAATTGTATTTCCAAGGCGTAGGATTAATTCTTTGAGGCTCCTCAGTCAGCTACGATGACAACCAGAATGAGGGATTGGAGCTGGTATCTGAGTACTATGATATTGTGCAACTTGCATTCGAGGTTCGCATTTGGCAGAAACAGGAGATCGAACTAAAGGCTACATGATTATCGAAAATATATAATCCAAAAAGGTACCCTACTACATCGCGTACTCGTTTTGGTGGCAAAATTTGCAAACTTTAGAACCTTGGGCTCTTAAAGGACATTATTTGGTTATCAGTTGTAGATTTGACCTAATAAGCTATTTAAATATTTATATGGGTGAATTTATTCAAAAATAATAAAGATATTATTACTATTATTATTATTACTTGATGGGTCTTAATATAAAACAAACTCTTACCATGGTGGAATGTATTAGTCTTGAAGGGGAAGCTCGGACTGATGAAGTGTGCTCGTTTACTCCTCTATATATACACTGTTTTTCATGGCCACGTTTTTCTTAAGTGCCATTGAACTAACATCTGAGTACATTAAAGCTTGGCATTCTTGAATTAACAAAATAAAACAATTTCATTTTACAGCATGGTTGATAAAATCATCAGGTGCTATTGATTTATGTTGACTGAGATTTTGCTTCGGATTACCCTGACGTATGTTCATTAACAGGTTCTGCATATACTATGCCGATGGTCTTATTTGTCTTTTTTTTTAGTGAAAATGTGACTTACATCTTAAGGAGACTTCTTCAGCATTTAGCTATTTTTTACCCAAATCAGATGCCTGTCACGTTTTGAGGAGTATACGTTTTCGAAGAATTACAATTTGCCGTAAATTACAAGTTTCCTGGTCGATAACATTATATTTCATACTTGTTTGAGATAAGGCAACAGTGCGGGAAATTTTGAAACATATCTTGGAACAGCAAACTCTTTTTGATTTTTAAGTAATATCAGCGCCACTTACAATTTGCTTTGTTCAGAACGATTGACGCAGAAATTTAAGTAATGCAGTCGAACATATATCACCATAATTTCAATAAGCAGACCGTACTTTAAATGATAAATGATGTCTTTCTACAATCACAATAATATATTTGTATATTCGTTTAGAATACCTAGCCCACCGAAATATTTGTTTCTACTTTCTTTAAAAATGTTCAATATAGCTTGGCCATTTTCTGAGCAGCAGCATCTTGGTGTCTGAGTTTCTTTCAACGTATATGAGTTAAAGAGCCGTCATACTATCATTGTACCTATTCATAAGTTGGCAGTGTCTCTGTAAAACGTTAATAAAATAATCGTTCAGTGATCAAAAATGTATTTCGTACTAGTTTCTTTTCTCGCACTGAAGGGTCTTAAGCCGTCAAGTATAATATAATGGGCTGGGTGGTATTTCTGTACATACAAAATTTACGCAATACCTGTTTTATGACTATAATTCCTCCCCATTTTGTAATATACATATTAACCTGCCCATGAATATGTTCACTTTTATACGCTTATACAAGTGAGTTATACGCCCATGTGACATAAAATAGGGCACACAATTCGGATAATAAGAAAATGCTCTAATAACTTTTAGTTTATCACAATAAATACATGATCCAATAAGGAATTTGCACACCGTCTAAAATAAAAATGAAAGTTGTTGATTGAAAAAAAAAATTGGGGCTCATGGAAAGAGTGGTGGTGCGGTGAAGGCACCCCTCGTGCATTTGGCACGAAACTGGGAGAGCGAAAACGTGTACCGCAAGCTTCACGCTTGTTGCACGAGTGTTAAATCTTACGTGAACCACCGCCATTCCCACGTGCTTCAAATCTCTTTCAAATTAAACATTTTAGTGGTTTTCGATGAGATTCTGCATTTTTCTTATTCGGACTTTATTTTGATTCAACAAAATATAAAGGTCATTCAAAAACTTTAGTTAATCATCCAAATTATCATGACGGCTAGCCACATATATGATGCCCCACTGTCCACACGAAATCGCCTGTTTAGACGGCGTTAGTAAAGCTGTAAAATTGTTTTTTTTAGGGAACCTGTACGTGAAAAAGGAATCGCCGCATATAAAAGGAAATAGCAAAATTATCAGATCGCTAGATTATTTTTTCCAAACAATATTGCTAATTGTTGATTGTCCGTATTATCGGCCTAACGCTCTTCTGGAAAACAGATCGACATTTCGACATTACCAACACGCAGTGCCATAAACCTAAAGGTCAATCACCTTTGCATCGTCACCCGTCATGGTATACCTAAGACCGGCCGCTCTACCGGCCCTTCCTGCATGTGTCCTGTCGCCAAGTAGCAGCCTGATTGTCAAACCACCAACGCAGTCGCCACTAACTCAGAGTCACTACATTTTGGTGCGTCAGCTACCACTACATTACGCTGCGGCAGCGGCTACTATCTTTTGATGCCTCTACCCATCCTGTTCTTCCGACTGTTTAACTCTTTCCTGGGCAGAAAAGAGCCCCTGCGGCTTTTCACGACGTTGTTTCACTCATGCCCGTTCAGTTTTTTTAGGGCAGTATGTAAGCTTCTGAGGTTCTTTGTAGTCTTCCAACGCTTGTGTTCTTTCAGTCCTTTCAGGACAGTGAATAAGTCCTTGAGGTTCTTCACAATGTTCCAACGTTCGCGATCGTTCAGTTTACCGGTCTGCACTGCAAGACGTGGGCTTTTAAACCTTCTGCCCTTTTCCCCCTGTCCGGTCGCTCTGCTGTAGCCAGTTTTGGACTTCACGAAATTTCTTTGCATTGAGACGTGACCTTTCAAACCTTCTGATCTTTTCCCCTTGGCCGGTCGCTCTGCTGTACCCGATGTTGTACTTTACAAAATTTCATTACAGTGGGACGTGCTGCCCTATACTCCGTTGACACCTAAGGTGAGACTGCAGTGGGATCTATGTGCCTGCCAAACAAATCAGCCGCCTTCGTTTCAACTCCTGACCCAGTCCTCGGTAAGCGGGCATGAGCAGGAGCATTATTACGTAACAAAAGAGGGACGTATGACTGGTCCATAGAGGACGTAGCTTTTACCGCAGTCTCAGCTTAGGGATGAATGAAATAAAGGCGGCGCGCAAGATGGCCACCCAGCTCCGGCCTTCCAAGAAGGTGCGTTTACTCGAAACGCACCTTCTTACTGTTTGCTCGAAACCCTATGCCGAAAACCCATTGTGCACCAGCACGCGCTCCTTACGAAGCTTCATTGACGGCTGCCCGTACGCGGAGGAGCCTGCATCTTCTGCAGTGTGGTCTCCGCCGGTGCTTCTATGTGCTTTGTGTCTGAGTGGACCACGATCAGTATTATGTAACTCTCCAGCTGTACGACATAATATAAGCCGAGTTCAGCGTTGCTTGGTATCCGACCAGCTGACCCGAAACTACACCGGAGGTGTAGCGCAGAAAGACGTTTTCCGGTTTAAAAAACAAACAAATCTTTATCACCACAATTAATTAAAAAAAAGGAGCTGCTAAAAATCCATCCTCCTGCCGCCGTGATCCCAACCAGTCTCGACGTTCGGGCAGAGCTCGTGATCTGTGTCTGGTACGCGCCACACGTGCGTCGCGGGGCGTTGTACCACTGTCACGCGTCTTGGCATGGCAGACATTCCTATAGTTATCGCTTGTCCGCTACAGAGGCGTTTAGCAGGACTGGGCACATGTTTGCACCTTCTTACATGGTCTTAAATGTCTTTGTCAACGCCGGGGTATCAGAAGATAATGTTCGCCAAGTTCTTCAAGACTGACCTGCCTCGATAGGTGTCGTGGAGCATAGCCTCCTGTATACTTATAACGCCTGCTCAATTGCAGGTTGCCAGCTATTACCACAAGGGTGCGTCGCTGTCCTATGCAAGGAAGAAAGCGTGAACGACGAGAATAAGCCTCTCTCGTGCGTTGTATTCTTGGTGCTGTTTTTGGCACTTGTCGTTGTACATGGCAGGGCTGTCATTTCACGAGACTCCAAGCACCATCCGGGATCATAGAAAGTGACTGAAGCTTATTTCGAGGAAACACTGCGTCCCAAATTCTACCTCCTATATACGAAATAGTGTGCGGTAGGCACCTTTTTTTGACGGACATTAAGGAAAACCTGTCTGGTCTCCCTTCGTGCATTCTGCTGAAGCTCCACTCGAAGCCCAGCTTGGATTGAGCGCCTTTGGTGTCAAAGGTGGATGAGCCCATGTACCCTTAAAGGGCCTGTTTGGTGCTGCCTGACTGGCTCTCGCTGCTAACCTACCCACATC